TAAACCCTATCAGTCGACCTCTTAATAGTGATTAGGCTTCTAATTAAATGTACAAGGACTAAACTGCCCCTACTTAAGTATGGGACAGAGAACCTCTAATAAGACTGCCACATAAGCTCATAACTTAACTAAGGTGAATTGACTAATCTACCCTTATTCGGCTAACTCTAACAGAAACAAACGAGATTGTCATCGTATAGCAGATTGAAGAAACGGGTGCCAGTATTTCAAGTTTGAAGCTTCAAACACAAGTTTGTAGGAAGAAGTTGATAAGCTTACCAAGGAAAAGAATATTTGTGTACAGTACTTTGGTAACATGAGAACAGAAATCTTTCACAAGGTAACCGCAATGCGGGCAGAGTAGCTCCAAGAATGACTATGTATCGTGATGTACATGTTTCTGACTAAGTGTACACGGATGTAAAAGTATTTTGTAGTTGTAAATGAAAATAGTTTTTTATACATCAAAGGAAATTTTGCTTGTGTAATCATTTTGAACTTTAGTCACTCTTTCCTTAATCTCCTAATTTTTATTGCAAAAGTAATTCATTGCTCAATGTGTATACATATTTGTAACAAAATAAAAAAGCAAATTGTGATGGATGGATATACATAACAACTCTCCATTAACTGCAACATGGTAGTCGCAGCCACTTCGTTTTAAAATGATTCACAACTATAATCTTCTAAACAATCACTTAGCGATGTGTCACATAATCGCAAAAAAAAAATGATATCATTGCAACTTGTTCAGTCATACCATGAATGTATTGATTGTTTTGATAAACAAGACAAACAAATTTATTAACAATAGGAGTGAAGCATTCTTTTTCTTCAAAATAGAAGAAAGAACATGAACAAGTGATAAGAAACCACCCACAGGAAAGGACATCTAACACAGTCAAACCCAAAAAGCCTCAATTACATTTATAAAAAGCAAACCTCCCCACAAACAAAACCAGAACTTATAGCAAAAATGCAATCAAACCAAACCCCACTACAAAGCCTGACACCCCATCAGCCCATTCCTCTTCTGCCGTCACCTACCTCTGTCTCATAACCAGCTGTCTCCATTAAAATCCATTTTCTTCTCCAGCTTTAAAAAACTTTTCTTGCAAACTCCTCTCCACCCAAGAAAAAGAGTCCCAATGTTTTGCCTATGAATTTCCTTATCAATAATCATATATAAGTCAAACTTTTTCTCTACCCTTCTTACTTGGCCAGGATTAATTTTCCCTAGCAACATTGAACCTTCTTTATCATCAATACAATTTTTCCCCACTGTTTCTACATCTATTATTCTAGAAGCAGCCTCAACCTCGAGATGAACAGAATATAAGTGTCTCTCCCAATGATTTTTTGCAACTGATCAGATGATTCACAGCTTCCATATTCTTTATGATTTCAGACTTAACCTTTCACCCCCTTCTTATACATTCTCTTAAATTTGTTACAAGGGCCTGCCACAACTAGACCATCTGTCAAACGGAAAAATACTTCAGTCAAATGAACTAAAAGACAATTATTTGTTTCTTTAACAGTATCTTCTGACCTCTTCTGAACCAAATCTTTGCCCAATTTTCTGACTATCACCTCAGCACAAGACTCCAGGTTGTAGATCTCCACACCAGCATTCAGACCTCTGTTACCATCAATGTGGGAGAATCATCACTCCCATTTTTCAGACCACTACTTAGGGGTGAGCAAGAAAAACCGAACCGAACCGAAAAAGCGGACAAAACCAAACTGAAAATCCGGTTGGTTCGGTTTCGGTTCGGTAATTTTAAAAAACCGAAAGTAGTGGTTTGGTTTCGGTTAACCAATATAGAAAACCAGCGGTTAACCAAACCAACTGGTATACATATATTTCTATATATTTTCTATATATTATAAATTAATAAATATGCATTATATATAAATATATATATTTATATATTTATAATATATAATATATTATTTATTGTTTCAAATATAATATTTTATATATATTTCTATTTATTTATTATATATTTATATGTTTTTTATAATATATATTACAAATATAAGAAAACCGAAAAACCAACAAACCGAGCTGACGGTTAACCGAACCGGTCAACCGGTCGATTGGCTTCAGTTCGGTTTCGGTCCAGAAACCGGTAGGACCAGTTCAGTTTCAAAAATAGGCCCACAGTTTGGTTAACTGAATCGTGAGCACCCCTACCACTACTAGCATCTTCTATCTCTAGTGATCCTCGACCACTCTCATAACCAAACTCATGAGGAAGAACCTTGTCATTCTTAAATGGGTTCTTGTTTGAACTTACCAAATATGCAGGTTGGCATTTTATACCAGACGATTTAAAACAAGACGGCTCCAAGACCTCATTAGCACAACCAATGAGCTGCTACACTCATCACAGTCTACAACAAGTGTCCTCCCATCATCAATGACATCAGCCAAATGCGCTCCATCACCATTTATGTCTTCTTTGGGATGTTGAGAAGAAGAATTATCCATCCATGGTCCAGAATAGGGGTATCAATGGACCAGGTTTGGGTTGGACCCTGTCCGAATCAAAATCAATTTGAACGGATTGGACAGACCAATAAGACATTGAATTTGACCAGTTCACACTTGATGGTCCAAAGTATTTATTGGATTGGTACAGACCTGGTCGATTTGTAATGGATTTACATTGGATTGGGTCAAATTGAACCAATATCTGGTCCACTGGCATAAGATAAGAGTACAGGTGTCAATGGACCAGGTTTGGAATTGGGCCCAATCTAAATTAAAACCAATTTGAACAGTTTCGACAGTCCAGACGTTGTATTGGACCAATGGTCCAAAGTATTTATCGGATTGGATTGGACCTATAGTCCATCTCTAATGGACTCATAGCAGACTGGATCGGATTGGACTAATATCCGGTCCATTGACAGTCCTGATCCAGAAACAGAAATCTTGACTGAATCTCGTTCAACTAAGACAGTAAGATCATAATAGTTGATGTTTTTCCCAAGCAAACGGCTTCAGCTTCTAGCAACGGAGTCTTCTCAGATTCTCGAACAAACCTAATAACACCACCCATGTCCATATTCCATGTTCCACACTCCCTTTCTTTTTCCATTACAAAACCCATTGATCTCCTGATTCCTAGTTGCAAGTTTCTTAAGAATAGGATTTTATGTTTTACAAAAATTTATTATTATTTCGAAATTACTATTTATTGTAACTTTTAGAGTTAGTATTTACTGTAACTCCCATACTTTCTCTTTATAATAAAATTAACGTTTACTATTTCTAGTAGTCTCTAGAGTCTTTACATTAAGTTAGGATTAATAATGTGATATTGGAGTTCTTTAGGTAGTAGAGTCCTTATTTTAGTGTCCCTATGGGATACCTATGAATTTGTCTTGGTCCTAAAACAACTAGAAGTTCATTTAGATAAGTTTCCTAGTTCAAATTAGAGTCTGTAAAGGGCCATTGGAGTTCATAATTTCAATATATAAATAAGGTCATTGTAATTGCAATTTAGGAAGAGTTCATTTGATGAATTAAAATTTGGTTTAGTGAATTTTGGCCGTTGAAAGGATTTTTTTCTTTTTTTTTCCTCACATATTTCTTCTTCTAAGTGATCTATCTCTTTGCCATTTACCCTAACAGAAATAGTTCACTCCCTAATTTCTTGTTCATTCTTTGGTGGAAAGCAAACTGTCTACTTACTTTTCCATCCCTGTTCTCCATATTAATCACTCAATGTCCCTCTTTCACCTTACAAAGCCCACAGCCAGATTTGGAATTTGTAAAACCCCCTACAGTATCCTATGTCAATAACATAATTATGTCAACTCCACAAGGACCCAACTATTGACCGTCATTACAAGTAGAATAGCTATAATACCCCAGGCCCAGCTTGACCTAATCCATGTATACTCTTATATCTAAGCATTAATTATCTCTTCCTCTGGTGGAGAATATGGCACCAATAATGGATGAAAACACTTAAAAGTAAATCTGTCAACAAATTCTTATATCACATTTCAGTATAAATATTAATCTACCTGTTGCTTTGGGGCCTCAACTCCAAATGCTACTCCCATTGCTAATTGAGTGCTAGATTCCTGGACCACCAACTCCACTAATTCAATAAACACCAAGCAGTACTAGATTATAGTAAGTCATTCAAGAGGTATTCCACCAATGGTACCTCTCATGCACAATTCATTAAAAATTACCGGGTGATACTGAAGCAGATTATTGATAATCGTCAAGCGTATTGCCTCTAGCAACTCAGGATCCTCAACCTTCCTGCCAGTATCACTGCAAGGAACACCCCAACAGAAAATCCATCAATAATTACTATAGGAAACATAAACTGAAAACAAGTCCACTCATTTTCAAATTCCCTGCAAGGGGAACTTTCAATCTTTTGGCTTCTTTTCTTTCCTCAGATTTTCATCACGAAAACTTTGGTGGTACTTTAATCATTCAAAAGGCAAGGATCTCACTTACAATGTTTAGTCAACATACTTCAAGTTATGAGCATATCAGTAGACATCATGCCAGTTTAGCTAAAACTGACATGCATCATATCTTGATGCATTGAGGTCTTTCTTTCAAGTTAAAAATAAGTACCAATTTAAACAATAAAAAGAAGGGAAATTTCTAAAAATGCATGATTTTAATTCTTTATGACAATTAAGGATAGTGCATGGAATTATTTGCACTGGTTTTCCTCATTTCTAAAATTATGCCTACTAAGTCGTAGATCTAGCACAAACCCCATTTTGTGTTACTTCAATACTTTATCAGTTAAGAACATTTTTCTTAAGTTTCTTTTAATTTTTTCTCTCTGTTATTAAAATGATACTCTGCTTTTTAGAATCACGTTAATCAAAACCTAAATGGATAAATGATCAACTAAATAAAACAAAGATGAAAAGAAAAAAAAAATTAAAGAGAAAAGAAAATGTGATTGTAATTATGTACAGAATCTCTTTGTAAAGAGGATCATGTATACTTTTGATTTTATATAATGCAAATATACAGTACCTTTTCTCAAAAAGAAAATATATTGTTAACATTCTAAAATAGTATAAAAACAAAGGCAAATATAGAAAATCTATTTAGTCTTTGGTCACGCTCTCATAATTAATAATAGCAATCAATAGAAGGGTTACCGGATGCCTAAAATGAAACTTTAGAAGTGATTAGTTTGGCTTCACCATAGAAAGCAATTTCAAGGATTCTCCCCCAATTCCTCCTTTGCATAAGGTATGATGTCTGCTCTAGGAACCTAGTAAGGTTTTGGGAAGATGTTTGGGTGGGAATTTAGCCCTGAAGGATCTATTTCCTTCTCTCTACTCTGTTTCCCTGTGGGAAAATGAATTTGTTGCTAGGTGTCTTTCTTCTCCCATCATCCCTGATTCTTTGAATTGTGATTTTGGGTTCAGAAGAGGTTTAAGGGAGGAAGAGTTGGCTTGTGTTACAGATCTCCTACTAGGCAATGTTTGTTTGAACCCTCCTAAGCCAGACAAAAGGATTTGGTTTCCTTCTGCCTTTCCCTGTAAAGGAAATTTGGACTAAGCCTATTCCCCCTAAGGTCTGTGTTTTGCTGGGAAGTTTTCCATGGGAAGACTAATACTTTGGACAAAGTACAGAAGAAAAGGCCTTACTTGTGTGCCTATCCCCAAAATATTGTTTTCTATGCAAATCTAATGGTGAGGATTGTTACCACTTGTTTTTATCCTGCCCTTTTGCTGCAACTATCTGGTTTTGGATTTTTGCCCTCGTTGGTTGCAGCTGGCTTTTTCCAGATGAAGTAACTCAATTGTTTGTACCCTCAACCTTTGTATGGCCTACAAAAAGAGGACGGTTGATGTGGAGGTGTACTAGAGCAGCCTCCTTGTGGACCATTTGGGATGAAAGAAATGCCAGAATATTCCAAAATAAGAAGCATCTCAGAGGTCAAGGACTACATTTTGACAAGGGCAATGGCAATAATACACTGTTCGAGAATGACCAACATGTTACAGCCCTTTTCTTTTGATGACTTTGGATAAATTGTTTAGCAATGGCTAGTAGCTCTTCCTCTAAGACAAGTTTTATTGCAGATTGGGTTCCTCCTCCTAAAGGGTTTTGTTAAATCAAACTTTGATGGGAGAAGTTAAGGTAACCCTAGCCCCTCTGGCATAGGAGGGGTTTTGAGAGATAAGGACAGCACTGTTTTAGCCTTATTTTCAAGCCTAGCTGCCATATAGGAGATTCAACTTGCAAGTCAAGTTGGTACAAAAAGACTATTAATTGAAGATGACTCCAAGGTAGTTGTGGGTAGACCTGTTCATGGGTTGGGTAGCCTGACGGGTCGGCCCAGCCCGGACCGATCTAAGTTGGCCTTAGACAGGATTTCAGGCCCACAGGCCCAGGCTTGGGCCTAAAACATCAGGCCCGACCTTTTTCTGGGCCAGGTTCAGGCTTTCTCACAAAAGCCCGGCTCAAGACCAAGCCTGACTTGATAATGTATTATATAATAAAAATACATTTTATATAATAATATATATAATATTTTTTCTTTATTATTCTTCTCTTTTTTCAAGTAATGGTGAGATCTTTCATTATATTTTAGGTTTTGAGGTCTTTTAATATAAATAAAACAGTTTTTTATTGAATAAAAAAAGAAAAAAACCTTTTTTCCAATTTTCTAGCCGGGCTCGGGCTCAGGCCCGAGGTTCAAGCTTTATATAAGGGCCAGGATCAGGCTCAAGACCTAGGCCCAATGGTCAGTCTGGGCTCGGGCTCGAGCCTAAGTATATTCTGTTAATACAGAGACAAAGCCTGGCCCGGCCCGGCCCATGAACAGGTCTAGTTGTGGGATGGTTGCTGGATCTGGATTCGGTTGTTTGGGGTTTTAGGGATCTCCTTAAGAAAGTGATTTGATTAACAAGGAATATGACAGTGAAATTCCAATGGGTAAGGAGGTCAGTAAATGAGATGGCTGACTCTCTTGCAAAGCAAGGGATTAACTGGGAAACTTTGCTTTGGGTTGCTTTGTAATTGTTTATAGTCTCACTTCTCTTTGGTTGAATGTAATCTCCTCTTTAAGAGTGAGCCAGTGAGGCTGCATCTTGGGCCTCTCTCTGGGATACTTGTAACAGACCTATCTTCTGATTAATGAATTAATTGTTCAATTGTCAAAAAAAAAAACAGGACCCAGTGGGCACAGTTTTCCATGGAGGAAGATTTTTGCAAAGATTTTATTCCACATTCCTTAATTGTAAGTAGAGATTTTAAAGTAACCTTATTAGTAATTTCCAAAAAGAAAGCATATGAGAAACTAATCCAAAAGCACTGGCATAAAAAAGAAAGAAGGAAAGAAAAAAACTGGCTTCTGTGAATAGCCTGAATTACTTGTTCAGGTGGATTTCAAGACCCGCCAACTGCCTGCCAGATTCTGTAGCTAAAACAGGGATTAAGGAGAATCTTGTATGGGGAATTCCTGGGACAGGGAGTAAATTGTAAAGAAACTGTTATGGTGAGAAGTTGATGTTTTCAGCCTACTGCTTTTGTATAGTGAGGTGATTTTTTTTTTCTGAAATGCATCTATTCAACATCATCATCATCTAAGCCTTGTTCCATATGGGGTCCAGCTACATGAACTTAAGCAAGATATCCAAGCACAAAAATAACAAACAAGATATAATAAATCAATGGTGATTTAGCTGCAATTTGGTCTATCATGTACATGAATAAAGAAATAAAAAAAAACAACAAATCAGACTCAATAGTAGATCAAAAAACTTACGCTTTAGTAATAGCAAACTTATTGTGCTTCCCAGAGGAATCTAAAAAGACACTTGCCTTGACAACATTGAGTCCAAGTTTTTTCAAGGCATTCATCTGCAGCGCCCCGTACCCCAACCCCCACCAGCAAAAAGAAAACAGTTAGATAATGAACTGAAAAGTATTCCTCATAATAGGATCTCTAATTGCATATTCCCTTTTACCTACAAAAATAAGTTCATGATTTAAAAGTAATGTTTTTCTTCCCTATAAATCCAAGAAACAGAAAAAAAGTGGATATAGGGATACAATTGAAATTCAGTAACAGAAAGAGATCCATATCTACTTTTGTTCAGGTTCTAAGGAGAGCCACATGATAACAATAAAAACTTTATACATTCACAAGGATGAAACCACCATTTGGTTGCCCACATTTAAGATATATTCCATCCAAGTATCAGAATGAGAACAAATTTCAGATAATACCATATGAAACAGAATGTTGGGTAATCAAGAAACAACAAATTCAAACAACCAGTGTATTTGAAGATATATCTAATATATATATATATATATTAAAGGAAGACTTTCAGGCTACAGCCCCCACCATTCAGACACGTGGCTTTTTCAAATTTAGACATATGACATTTTTTGAGAAGCTGTTGTTAAAGCCCACAGCCCACTACCACCATTCAGATAAGTGGCCTTCTCATTTTCTAGAAAGCTAGACACGTGACAATTTCTGATAAATTCCTACTAAAACCCACAACCCACTATCAGGCTACAGCCCCCCACCATTCAGACACATGGCCTTCTCATTTTTCTGGAAATCTAGACACGTGGCATTTTTTGAGAAGTTGCTGCTAAAGCCCACAACCCACTACCACCATTTTCAATCCATTCCTAAAAAATGCAGAAAATGCAAAAGTGGTTATCCACAACCACTTCTGCCTACACTCTATCAATCTCAGTTAATCATTAACCCTCTACGTATCATAAAAAAAAAAACAATCCATATTCTAATAATTATTGAAAAGCTATTTTTTGAAATAAATATTTCTTGAAATTTTAATAATTATTTAAAMTATTARTAAATATAAATTTAACATTATTGATTCCATAATGTAAATTTAACATTATTGATTCCACATACTTAGTACGGGGTCATTAACTAGTTTTTTATCAATAACATAAACAAATTCATTAAAAAGGAACAATTAAGTACATAGGAGAAGGGGAGAGATTAACTCTCTTAGGCCTCCCAAAAATAATTCAAACTACACCATAGCCCAAAACAAACTGTTCCTTCCCACCCCTTGTTTAGTAAGTGTGTCAGCAAAAGCACTGGCTTCTCTTCTCACCCAATTAAATGTTACCTCATAACTTTCCTTTTATCAAAGATGTAGCACAACCATCCAGCCTCCTCATCCTTTCTAGGCCAACTTATCACAACCTTCGAGTCTCCTTCAATTGACAACTTTCGGATATTCAGCTCCTTAGCCTTTTAAATTCCTTCCAAAAAAGCCAGAACTTCAGCCCTTAATGAATCACCATCTCCAATTGGGCCTGAATAAATCGTAATGACTTTTTCATCCTCATTTCTAAATACTCCTCCAATGCCGGACAGACCTGGATTACCTTAACTGTTGCAATCAAAATTGAACTTAATAAATCCTCCAGATGGTGGGGACCAATAAGGCCTAATAGCCTCCTTTAAAGGAGAAGAGTCAGCTGCCTCCCTCCACTTCCTCATCAATTCACCCCTAGGAATGTCCTTAAAGAGATCCAAGGACTTCACCCAATGGACCACTCTAATGGTAATGGCTTCAACAATAGAATCCCTGCTTCTGTCTTTATCAAGAAAGATTCTCTAGTTCCTCTCTTCCCAGCCAGGGTTCAGGGCAGGGATGGAGCAGGGAATTTGAGTTCAGGGTCAAGGANCCGCCCCGCCCCGCCCCATTGCCATTCCTAATCCCCTGTCTTTTCGGCTACAAGAGGAACTCTACGAAGCTTTGGTCAGACTGCTTTTCCTCTTTATCACCGGGAGGCTCTTCAAACTGTACTGTGACCTTTTCCACCACAAAGAGAGAGCCAATGTTAGTGTCCTCTTCATTGTCCATGCACACTTAGACAACCTCTTCAACACTTCTAATATTGGACTTGTTATCAGATGCACTATCTTCCTGAGAATCAACGCAACTAATCCAATGGCCATCTTCTTCATCATCCGACCAAGCTTCTTTTGATCTGAAATATCTTGGGTTGGTTTTGTCTTGCACCGAAGGGGAGTGCTTAGTCCATTAGGGACAATGATATACCCAGATTAACATCCCCCTTCMCCCCCCCCCCCCTTTAATTTCACACATTACACTTAAATTGTCATGTGTAAATGGTTTAGATCTCGATCGAGCCAAATGGCCCACCCCAAGTTTAGTAAAATTATAACTCAACTTATCCCTTTTTAAAGCTTCGATGTAGGATGAAGGGCCACTCTTTTTAAATTCAAATTTATTTGAGAATGCAATTAGTAGAGGCAAATTAGAGCCTAAATCAGCCTTGCCCAATGATTAAGTTGCCCTACGAGGAAAGTCAACAGTGCCAGCCAAACTTGCCTTTGTCTCTATACCACATGGCCTGCTACTCGCCATGTCAACTTCATCTTCTATCTTTCTCCCTCTCTAACATAGCATCGATCCAACTTCCAACGCTAACCAGACCTGCCATCAGAAAAAACTTTGACCACTCTCAGGGCATGTTCGTTTCCTCTTAACTCTTATATCTTAAGAGGAATCTATTAACTTTAAGAGAAAAATGGTTTTTGTTTCCTCTTATCTCTTATCTCTTAAAGTGCAATCATACAACTTTTTGTCTTCCAATGATAACCCCAAAAAGACAAACAAAAACTCTCATATATGGGGTCAAAATGGATATTTGATGATTTTCAGAATTCAGAACATTCTCTGCATTCAGAGTTCAAAGGAAAGAAAAGTTCACCAATACCAATAAAGAGGAAAAGCAGTCTGAAATATTGTTCGGCTTGGAAGCTCATAGACTCATGGTGGCGACTTCCAAATGTCAGAATTCAGAGCAGTCTGAAATATTATCACCTCTTAATGTAATTATTGCACTTTCAGATGTCAGACTTCAGAGCAAACGAACAGGCCCTTAGAATATTGTTCGGCTTGGAAGCTCATAGACTCGTGGTGGCGGCTTCCAGATTTGAAATACCCGCCTCTTCTAAAGAACCTCCACAAAAAATAGGGGCTCTGACCTTCATCTTTAGATGCAAAACAGGAGCATTTTCTTACTTATTTTCTTACACAAAAACAGGGGCTCTGACCTCTTATTGTTTTCTCTTTTTCTGATACAAAAGAGTAGGGGTGCAACTTGGGCAAGCCTAGCCTGAGCCCGAACTGACCCAGCCCGAAATTTAACATGAGATGGGCTTGGATTTTCGGTCCTCGGGCTGGGCTTGGGCCCAAGAAGTCAGGCTTCTTTATTTTCCGGGTGGGCCCTGGCCTAGCCTTTAGGTAGCCCGAACCTGGCCCAACCATTCACATTCATACATACATATGTATATATATGTAAATTTTGCATACATATTTACATATATATCCACCTCTTTTAAAGAACCTCCACAAAAAATAGGGGCTCTGACCTTCATCTTTAGATGCAAAATAGGAGCATTTTCTTACAAAAAATAGGGGCTCTGACCTCTTATTGTTTTCTCTTTTTCTGATACAAAAGAGTAGGGGTGCAACTTGGGCAGGCCTAGCCTGAGCCCGAACTGACCCAGCCTGAAATTTAACATGAGATGAGCTTGGATTTTCGGTCCTCGGGCTGGGCTTGGGCCCAAGAAGTCAAGCTTCTTTATTTTTCGGTGGGGCCCTAACCTAGGGGAGCCCAAACTTGGCCCGAGCCTGGCCCAACTATACAAATTCGCACAAACATATGTATATATATATATATATTTTTTTTTTTCCTATATACATACATATTTACGTATATACATACATGTATACATATTTACATAAATGCATATATACATATATAATTTTAGAGCGAGTTCATTGACCAACCTGAACCAAGCCTGGGCTCGAGCCCAACCTAAGTGCATCAAATTACAGTGCGAGTTGGGCTCAGGTTGGGAAGATTAGGCTTGACCCTGGGCTCAGTCCGGGCTCAAGCCTTGAGCCCAAATTTTAGGGTCAGGCCTGGGTTGACCATAAACCCGGCCCAACCCACCTGACTTGCACCCCACAAAAGAGGGGGCTCCACCTTATTTTTCTCGCCTATTTTTGTAATGTGAAACAGGAGCTGTGCTTCATCGTGTTTTCAGCTGTTTTAACATAAAAACAAGGGCTCCACTCTATTTTTTTATCTCCTTTTCTTATGCTAAACAGGGTCTGCTCCTCATTTTCTCCCATTGTTTTTAACACAAAACAGGGGTTCTGCCCTATTGTTTTTTCATCCTCTTCTGTATGCAAAATAGGACCTCTACTCCATGGTTTTTTAAGTCTTTTATGACATGAAAACAGGGCCTCCGCCCCATGTTGTTTTGGTAAGGTATTTGTGTTTGAATTCTGAAACTCTGAAGATTTCTTTGTTAGCTCCGGTATGGCAGTGTGTAAGTCTTTATTTATGCTAGTTTGTTGGACATGGTTTGGCTTATAATTTGTTAACTCCTTATGTAATTCATTATAAATGTGCTATTTTGTTGAATTATCATCTTCTTGGATGTGTTTTGGGTTGAGAAGTTATCTCTCTCTCCCTCTCTCTCTTATTTTCATATTTTTCATCAATTGCATGTCTGACTTAAATTATTGAAAATTGAAGTTGAAACTATAGGGAATTAGGGATTAGATAAAATTATGATTCTTTTCCCTTAAAAATGTGGAGGTAAGATCACAGGATAGCTAAATTTTCAATAGTAGATTAGTAGTATTGTAGATTAGTAAGATCATTGGCTCACTATTACTACCTACTTATATTATGTCTATAGGTTGAAAATTAGTACAAGTCATTTTTTTCTGTTTTTTGAGAAGTTTGGGTATTTTCTATAGTTATTTTGACAGCTTTTAGAAAAATCAGAAAAAAATCTTACGATTTACGATACGATTATGATTTTCAAACATTGATTGGGAAGGAGGAGGCAGGAAGTCTCCCCTATCAAACAACCTATGTCCAACAATAGAAACTGGATAGTATGGAAATATTAATAGAGGAAATAGAAACATATACCGTGTCAAGGAGAGCTCCAAGACGATCACCAAACGTTATCTCCACAATAGTTGCATCAGGATCTGAATTCAGGTCTATTATAACTTTAGGAGTAGGAATTGTATCAGCCTCTTTAGCACTTCCGTCCTGTTAAAACAAAGGGTTAAATAAGTAGGCACAAAGTAAAAATAAAAACACAAAGACACAATGGGTTGTTCAATACCTCTACAGCAGTTTTGGATAAAGCTTGTGGAATAATAACACCTGTATAAGATGATGTTCTGAAAACCAAATATCAATGTACATGCACTTATTAATGACCAGAAGGAAACACCCTAAACCACAGCTAAGAAAGAATTTGGTAGTTGAGGAATGATAATAATGTAGCTTTCATAAAAATGGTGGACCACCATGGCAGTTTCATCTCAGAATACCACACAGCTCTGCCATAATATGCAAATGCTCAGTCATCTGGCCATCCAATTGGTATATCCAACTTAAGTTATCTCTTAACACAAAAAAGTAGTCACAGAATACAAATCCTTATGATTTGATGACATATAAACAATCAATATATGGGCAATAATTATCATCTAATCATGTTATTTAGTGGATATAAATTCACCTTACTGCAGCATGGACATGTCAGAGATCAATTATACACACTTATTAATGCATTCTTTTCCTTGACATTATGTAATCTTTTTCTCAGAAGAGTGAATGTAAATGTAAAATCAATTTCTTTATCTTCATTTACCATAAAGCTTAGGTCCATATCCAGTCTACCCCTCCCAAAACCCTAGGTAGCTGGGACAAACATAAGGTAATGACCCTTTTGGCCAGTCCACTTCCAAATTGGATGAAACCAGTATGCATTAATAGACATTAATGACACTAAATAAGAAGCACGAATTTTTGAAATTTTTAAATGACATGAGCTAAAATATCATGAAATAGAAATAACTCAAGCCCCTTCCTCTTTCAAATTTCTGAAGACCTAACGTTACAAGAAAAGGGTTCAAATTTAATAGAATAGACACAAATCTAACCATTCATTTTTGCAGGTCTGAAGAGGAAAAAGAATAGCCATGGAGGAAAAAGTACAAAAAAAAAATCCAAACAAGAAAAAGGAAGAAATGTTCACTTGACGGTTGATGGGTGGGTGGGGGAGGGGGTAATTTTAGCTTAAACCAACACCAATGCCAAGGAAAAAGAATAATTTTGAAAGCACGACTATTAAAAACCAAAATAACAAAGTTGGAATCACAACCATCTCCGGAACCTTTTGTTTGAAGAAGGCCACAAAGCAAGGAAAAAGGAAAAAAAAATAGAAGAATCCGATAAGACATTAATAATATCGACACAACACCGCGCAATGTATCTCATATCCAAAAGACAGTGAAAAAATTATTCAAGTGAAAATATGAATTATTCAACTGAACTCCAGAATTCATTCAGACACACAAAACAAATCCAAATAAGAATTATTCAAGTGAATATAAGCTACATTGATGGACACCCATATCCTTAATTCACAAGAACTCCCAGAATTCAGTGAGAAATTTTAAATTATAAAACAGTCCTACAAATAAAACATACAAAACCAATTAGCATACCTTTTCTTGGAAACAGCCCAACATCGGCTATTATCCAATCCGAAAAGCCTCTTCATAAAACCCCCATTACTAAAACGATTTTCAACAGTTCTCAAACCAGAACAAACCCCCAAACTCCCAGCAGCCATAGCCACAGCCATTAGCTCTCCAAAGAATAAATAAATTAAACAACTCCTTAAAGAAGAAATAAAGAACAAAATTTAATCCAGAGACCCAAAAATTAAAATTTCCAGAAAGCCCAACAAATGTCAGAACTTAGCTGGTGGATTCTTCTTCTTTTCGGTCATGGAAGCTGAAATTTCTCGTATAACCCGTGAAACCCAGTTCAAAGAGAAACCAAAAACGTACATAAGATCAGAAGAGTCTAATAATCTGTGGGAGTAAGTCGACCACTTGGCTTTGGCAGTGACAGTGATGGTGATATGCGCCATGAAATCTCTCTTTCTCTCTCCCCCTTTTTAAAGCGAGCCTCAAAAACTTGGCAATTATCTTCAAGCCTCATCATCTGATTTTGTATGGATAAAAACGAAATTTGTGAACCGGAAAGAATTAGAGATATTATCTACAATCTCACCATTACTTTTTTTGAATCTTTCAAATTTACCATGACTTTTCAATACTTTTAGAAAGGCCCTTATTATTTTTATTGTTCAAATCTTACCTTATGCTCACATAAGTTGTCCATGTAACTATACATTGGACAATGTATGCCCTGAGGTCCAGTAATGTTTATAATTGATTATAATTACAAATAAAATTGCAATTATTTCATGTGCCATGTGTATGTTTCTATTAATTTAATCTTTGTACATTTTAAGATTATTAGTAAATGTTCACAGGTCGCACATGATGATATTTTTTAATTTAGGGTTCGATTATGATATAGAAAAGATATGATATCTGAAAAACAACTGATTAATAAATTGGAATCATAAACATGGTGTTATTTATCAAAAATCATGGGTGGGTTTTGATTGATCAAAACTCTTTCTATACAATATCTATTCTGCAGCATAGATTTTCCCTTTAATTTATCATTTTAAAAATAAATTATACTAATTCAAAACATTGTAAATTCAAGATGTCTTTGAATCCATAACATTTTGAAAGCTTTAATTCATAGTATTTATTAATGGCAAAGAGAGAGAATGTATTTAATTGTGAAAAATGTCATACATCTACATATATTTATCTATGGGTGTATCCTCCATTTAAAATTTAATAAATGAACTTTATTTTTCTAAATCAAAAAAACAAAAGAATAGAAAATGCTCTCAATGCTTCTTTTAAACTTAACACATGGATATTAGATTTATTAATTTAATTTAATATTTTTAGTTTTTTTCAAAATTAATTCTGTCTTATGAGACTATCATTTTTTAGAGTGGATCATGAATGCATTAATTTATGAAGTTATCATAAGAAGGAAAAATAGAATGGTGAGTATCAACATTAAGGACATACTTTGATATGTTTAATATGTGTGGCAATATGAGAGAACCAATGGAGAAACTTTCCAACCAAGCCTATAAAAGTAAATACATATTCAACTATTTTATGAGCTTTTTTCTTGTATTTTATTTGTATATTACATCTAAATCAATTTGTTATGGATTATAAGTTTTTTTTTTTCTATTAACGATGTTAGACAGTATATATTAGAGCTAAGGGCATATACTGGAATGGGTGTTTACTTAAAGCACTTAATTGGATCAAGTTTCAAACTACTCTTAGACTTTTGGATAGATGGATGGAATAGCTAAACCATTACTTGTGATCCTTGACTTGATAATGGTACATAGTCATATATTTAACTTAACTTCTTTTGATATGCTAATTAGTGAGATCCTTTTAGTTTCAAACTACTCGTATATTTGTATAATAATGGCAACGGGGCAGGGATCATATTCCCCGTCCCCAACCCCGATTCTAAAATTAACCCTCATCCCCGTCCTCGATCCCCGTCATGGATAAAATGTGTCCTCCATCCCGATGAGGATGGGTTCCCTACAGGGCTCGAATCCCCGAAATATTTTTAAATAACAGTAGCTTTTTAAAAATAAATTTACCTAAAATAAATAAAAAACTAAAATTATAAATAATATTTTAAATATGTTTTGGTATATAGAAATAATATAATAATATATATTTAATATAAATACCATTTAATATATATATATATAATATAATCGAGGTTGGGCGGGGCGGGGACCTCAATCCCCATCCTCGACCCCAACCCCAATCGGGGATTCCTATTAATCCCCGTCCCCTCCCCGTCTTGCCAAAATAATCCCCATCCCCCTCATCGAGGATGGAGAAAATTGCCATCCCTAATTTGTAAGCATACCCTCTTTAGTGGATGGTTAAAATTGTCGGTAGTGGATTTCAAAAAATGTTGAAATTTGTTTTGCAAAAGTGCATGTATAAATTTAAATAATTTATTTTGAAAGTTGTTTGCAAAGAAATTTTTCCCGGGATCCACTAATGAGAGTGTGACATTAGGCTATATGTTGAGGGAATAAGTCCTTTGAATCCCAGTGTTGGATATTAATAGTTGAGAAATCATGTAGCAAATGTCTTATTTGAACCAAAATGTTGATGGACATATAATTGAATTGGGCCATTAAGACTTGGACTCATAGGGTGCCTAAGGCCTAAGTGTTAGACAGTGTATGCCCTTAGCTCCAATTAGAATGATGTACATTATAACATTTAATGTAAATGAATAAAATACATATTTGATTCATGTTATTATGGTGTGTTTTTGTGTAATACCCTTAAACTAGACACATATGAGACTCGTGTTAGTTTAAAATCTTCACAGCCGTTGGATAGATATGGGGAGATTTATTCTGCCAAGGCTGACACTAATGTGCCGCCAAGTTGGTTGGGGTAGCTTGTCTCAGCTGCCAGGGTGAGACTAGAAGTACATGCAGTGTGGGTTTTTCTTGAAACCCTGAACCGGACCAGAATTCCAGTATTGCCCTGGACCTTGGAGATAGATGGGCAAAACTGGAATGTTACACCTGACCCCTAGACTCGATTATGATACTGCACTAGGTGTCAGATTGGGCTGTCTTTGATATTCCAATCAGTGAGATCCTTAGAGGGGGTCAAAACCTAGGTATGTTGGGACAGTTCGAGAATTTATCTAAGTGGGTGATCATAGTGACAGGATCAGCCCCTTTGTCGGACAAAGTGAATGATCGATGATGCACTCTCTCTGGTGGAAACCAAAACTATCGGCAGTCAATTTCAACCGTTGAAATTTGTTTTTGCAAAATATATTTATATAGAGATATACATACATATATATATATATATATATATATATAATGGTTTTAAAATGTTTGCAAAAGGTTTTAATTCCCGGGATCCATGTGAGTAGAGAGTGCAGTACTGTACCCTGCAGCCGAGGGAGAGATCCTCTCTTGTCGGGCAGTGTTTGATCATTATGGGCTGGGAGGTTAAGTGTAAGACCATTGAGGGTAATACCTGATGGGCTAATCTTGCATCTGCCCACAGTTCTTGGGTTTTTATAAGGTGGCTTGACCCAGGAACCATTTAGTGTAAATGTTGGGCCCATTAAGAGCCCATGGTGATGGACTCATGGGTTCACTGTCTCCTACAGTGAATTCGGCCAGGCCTTATAACAGAGGCTGGGCTGAACCCATGTGGCTGTTGTGTAGATCAATGTTTGGGTCCCACGCCACACAAGGATATCCAACTGGGTAGCAGATAGGAGGGTAAGTGAGCAAATGGACTTAATGGGCCTAAAGCCCAAATCGAACTAGCTTAATGTGATTAATTAAAAGAGGGCGATTTTGGGATTCAGATCAGCAGATAGGATAATGGATTATCCCTATCCACTCAGAGAGTCCAGATCCAAATAAAGATTTGGATTAGGAAACTCCTAATCAGATTAAGAGGGTTGATCTTTATCTGCAGATAAGATAAGGGATTATCCTTATCTTTTAAAGAGAGTCTAGATCCAAATACAAGATTTGGATCAGGAAACTCCTAATGGGATTAGGAGAACCTCTCTTTAAAGGCTATAAATAGAGCAGCAAAAGGCGAACCAAAAACACATAGAAAAGAAGAGAGATCTTCTGGTTCGCAGATCACAAGAAAGAAATCTTGTAGTTCGACTACTTCAAATTTCTACCCTTTCCTGCTCTTGCCGCCTCTACTAGTTCGACCTCCACCTGTAAGAGCGATCAAAAAGATTTATTGATATTATCTTTTGGGAGAAAAGATAATCAGAAGTTGTGCTCACCTGCCCTCCATCGAGTTCTTGCTGAAGAATTCGGTTCTTGCTGAAGAACCATCCTACTGATTCTGCTCCACCATATGCTGTGTCATCTTCAGTGGGAGCAGTATTTGGTAATCTCCTTGGGTGTGAACACCTTTGTTGTAGGTTACTACTACCCCGTATCAGGTATATCCCTTTCCTACCTTTTGGTTTCAGATCTGGTTTTGTTTGGGTTCAAGATTGATCCTTGAAAATGCAGTTTTCTAAAATAGGAAATGTGATTCCCACATGGGAGAGAGAAATTTTTGAAATTTCGCCCAACCTACCTGCAGGGTTCAGCCATCCATATGATGGATCTCTCATCCCTTCACTAAGTAGCAAGTGTTCAATACTACTGAAATGTTCAAGCCCATAACTTATGAGGTGATTCACTCTTTAATTAGAGTGAAATTGGCTTAGTGGGCCTTAACTCATTTCAAGTGAATGAGAGGGCCCAATAATGATTGATCCAATTGGCATGTGGGTCATTTGCCATACAAGTAGGGGTGTAAACGGTATCCGATTATCTGATTCCAAATTTGATATTTGACATAATCGAATTGAATTCAAATGGTTCGATAAACTTAATGGTTGAATTCGAATTTGTATATCTTACCGATTAGTTTATCGAATTTGAATTTGAATTCGTATCGATCCGATTCGATTAAAATTCGAATTCAATTATTATATAACTTTAATATATATTAATAATAAATATAATAAAATTTATATCAATTTAAACTTAAGAGTGGTCATATCCCTCAAAGATGACATCTCAGCCAAAAAGGTTGCAACATGTCACCTACTTGAGTACTCCCATTCTTGATAACCCCTCCTCTCTCTCTCTCTCTCCTTTCCATTCCCCTCCATCACTTTTAATTTCATTCCTCTTGCTTTTTCCTCATTCTCTCTTCCTCTCTCCCTCCGTCTTTTCTATTCTCAAGCTATGAGCACCAAGCAACCACCATTCATGATCAATATCCTCTATAGATTTTTTTCCTCCTTCCCTTTTCCTCTCTCCCTCCGTCTTTTCTATTCGCAAACTGTGAGCACTGAGTAACCACCATTCATGATCAATATCCTCTACAACTTTTCAAGAATAACAAGTGATGCATCCATACTTTGAAGAATAGCAAACGGTTCATCTTAG